GGGCATTTAAACATTTTTTGCTATTTTATATTAAATCATTTTTATTATAATTATATCCTCTCCCTTGGTTTTTGTAGATAACTGTATCTTATTTACATTCAATCCACAATAAAGAACTCTGTTCTCAAAAGTTTTGCAGAAGAGACGAAGGTGGCAGCCATATCATTGGTTCACCAGCTGAGGGTCCGCTTACAGGCTTTGCCTGCTGCTGACAGGTATGCTGTCAGGTCCATGTGGTCTGGCCCTTAGTTGGAGATTTATTCTGGAAGTGCAGTCCTCCCAAAGGTTGAAGGAGGTGATGTAATAGGGATTGAAGAAGTGGACATTCCATAAAGAAAAACTTGTTCTCATGTGGTTGGGAAACCAGACAAAAAGCATTACTTTTATGGTCTTTAATGAGGGATAAGGGGGCCATTCTCAGCACTTGCATCCACGGTAAACAGGGATACCACGTCTGCCGCTTAAGCATTTCAAGATGATTCTTATCATATACCAACATCCTCTTTTTTTTTTTTTTTTTTATCCTCACCCGAGGACATTTTTCCATTTTTTGTACAGATAGAGTGGGAGGGAGAGAGAGGAAGAGAGAGAGAGGAAAACATCGATGTGAAAGGGACACATCGAGTGGCTGCCACCCGAATGACCAACCAGGGCCGGGGACAAACTGCAACCGAGGTACATGCCCTTAGCGGGAACCGAACCCAGGTCTCTCCGGACCGCAGGTGGACGCTCTAACCGCTGAGCCAAACCGGCCAGGGCCCAACATCCTCTTGTGGAATCATGTTCATGTTTAAGGCAAGAAGACTGGTCATCAGTTTGCAGTTACTTGGACAGCAGAAAACAATGCTGACAGAATTTTGACTCTAGTGCCAGAGAAAAACACACATTTCTACTGTACAATGGTCTCAGGAATGGTGAAGCACCACGATCCTGTGTAGGCATTAAACATGTACATCAAAGTATTGAACAACAGACTCCGTGTCAATGTGTAGATCTCCAGTATACTGAAAGCAACAGCAATGATGAATGAGGACTTTGACGAAAAATAGAATAATAATTGGAGTAGCTGAAACAAATGGTTGCACAGAAGGTGCAACCAAATCTACAGACTTTTAATACCATTCTGAAATGTCTTAGAAGATTTTACACATTTGGAAAATTGCAGCCTTTTCAGACCTTACATGAAATGAAAGCCATCAGAATAGAATACTTACTTATAGCATATCACTATATTATTCAGCTGTTTTATCGACATGAATGCCCTTCAAAAGGATCATCCCTCCTGATTTATGATATCGTGAAGAAATCCATGGGAAAGAAATTTTCCCCACAGGACCTGGATGATGATATGATTTTTAAAATTAGCCATGAGAGTTTGCTCCTCTCTCAAAGATCTAGAACTTGCTTACCAAGTATACGGCCTTTTAAACATTGGAGACGAGCACAATTTCATTGGGCCTAATCATCGGTGTCATTTCATTATTCCAAGTTCTTCAATTTGCTTTGTCTAATGGAACAAACTGATGTCACCTTGAAAATGGTATAAGAACCTCATACCTTCAGTTTTTCTTTCCCATTCCCAAACAGTGATAGATCTCCAAGTATTGGATGTGGCCAACAGGCTAGAAATGATTCCTCAAATTTGGAAAGATAGTAAAGAACATGTTCACACTTTTTTTGCAATGACCTGAAGGAAGATATTCTGATGCTCATGGCATGGGACCAACATTCGCCAGAGCTTTGGGTGGTGGTTGCTGACTGTGCTGAAGATATCAAGTCTACTTATGAAAGTAAAGATGCCAGACAGACTGCTCCTGATTGGCCAGCCAACCCTCTGAACTGTATAGCTGTCCTCTTTTTAAGGGATGGGAGAACACAGGAAGTCTGGAAAATGTTGGGGCTTTTCAGGAAATATAAGAAGATCCCTAAAAGCCAAGTGCTGAATGAGTTTATGAACAGTGCAAATGCATCCAACAACCCTGCCCAGGCCATTGAGAGAGTGAAGCGGATGAGTGTCTGTGAGGGCCTCACCCAGAGTGTAATGGCTGACTTTGTCATCAGCCAGGAATAAAAGGAAGTCCTGGGACAGATAAATGCATTGGCCTGTGACAGCAGCAGTGATAGCGACAGTGACATCAGTGAAGGCAAATAAAAGTGAGCCAATCAAGAGCAGCTATGGCCTAGCATAAGATGTTATTTAACCATGATATGAATAAAACTAGAATATAAATTTGGTGAACTTTAAAATACAATTGATACAACACTGACTTATTTAAAGGTTAATTTTCTTATTTGATACTAACTAAACCATCCATTCAAGGTTTATCGTTTAAACAGAAGCAGCACTACCATTTTCAGTTGTTTAGATACACATTGTGAGGTGCATAGCTTCTGATTTCAGCATAAGCTCTGCAGTGTTTGCCTGACAATTTCACACTGCTGTCATCCGTATGCTCATCCTCCCCTGTTCAGAACTTTAGCTTTTGTTGGCTGATGCTATGATGCTGGTACTTCCTTATCTTAGAGAAGGTGTCTAAAGGAGGTTTTCATACAATTATCACAGTTGATTTTCACTGGGTCAATAGTATCCCATTTTCAGGGATATTTATATGTGGAAAAAACTGCACATCTTAGAATCAATTAAATGACAATGGTAGTTTAGGCTGCACAACTAGGGAGATAAAGACTGTAAAGAAATACAGAATGAATGTAAAAATAGTTTTCCAGATACTATGGATGCTTGTATTTGATTTTTTTTGTCATGATGTTTCAGTTATATGGCTATCACTCCAGGTGAGTGGACATGTAGGTCTCCCTCCCTTTGCACAAACAGACTAGGTAGGCTTTGGTATTTGTAAACTGCTTATAATTTGAGTACTGGACTTGGTCTCCAGGCTGGGTAATATGGCTCCACAGTGAGCAAGTTCTAGGGCTCTAATCTGTAGGTTACATTTGGATATTTCATAAATGCTAATAAATATACTACTCTTCCAGGTAGAGTGCGGAGATGTGCCTGCCACTCCTGAGTTAATTTGTCATCACTTGTTTAGAATTTTCTTATGTGTGACAGGCGCCCCCTAGTGATAGTGGGACTTAAATTGGCCTCCACTATAAAAGAGGCAGGGGAAATCTATTTCATATTTATTAAACAAGATGCTGAAGTTTTGTGTGTGTGAATGAAGGTGAAGGTGGAGATCTGTTCTTCATAAAAAAATCCAATATTTCACAAAATAGATGTGGTAATCAATTTTCCAAACTAATCTGACTTTTACTAGATCATCAAGGTACATGAATAGATCATTGATTTTTATCAACTCTCCAAATGTAGAGACTTGGCTGGATTATTTTAATATTGCTACTAGAATATGATATCTATAATGTACAGTTGAGAATTGAGAAACCATAATTTCAATCCAAAAAACTTTAATCTGGTAAATATATTTGATAAACTATATTCTATTTGATTAATTTAAATAGAACATTTAATGAAAACCGTGATTGCTTAAATGATACAATAAATCAGTTACTTTTAATTACCTCTACTCTCCCGACAGCTCTTGCCACTTATAACAGTCCTGTTCGTAAAAATGGGGGTTATAATTTTGACATCATCATAAATATTAATTATTATTTATAGCACTGTGTTAGGTCTTAACTGAGGAACCCAAAATAATTCTTATCCTCTATATTGCTTCCTATATAAAATAAAGTCAAATAATATATAACCGGGTCAACTGGAAAAGAAATCAAATAAAAATAAGAGAAAGTATTCACATTATTTTAAGTGTCAAAAGAACAGAAGCAATCCCATGTCTGACTCAGTGGCCTTTGAATGGAGCATTCTAAACCAACAATTTGAGAAAAGGTAAACAAAAAGCAGGTGACATGTTTAAGTAACAAGTAGGTTAAAAGATTATTGGACTATTCTCAAAGATCTTGTTTGATGTTAGAAATTCTCATGTTGCCTCCCACCTTTTTATTATCTAAACAATTTTCTAACATAAAAAACTACTTTTTCCTCTTTTGCCTACATTGGCCTTTGTCTCCTGAGTATCCTTTTAGATTCATCTACTTTCCTTCAGGTTCAAGCTGACTTCTCTAACTATAAGGCGGGTCCCTTTTGGTTCTTCCTCTTCTCTGAATTCCTAATGGCCTAATTTAGCACAATTATATCTCTTTGATGATTCCATGTACTTAAAAGGCTCTACAGAACACATGCAATCATTCATTCAAGTCACAGTTGATCCTTGAACAACACAGGGGCTCAGGACACGGGCAGTAGCCGAAAATCCTTGTATTAAGCCTTCCCTCCGCATACACGGATTCCCCATCGTATTTATTACTTTGGGTTTTTTTTGTTTGTTTGTTTTTTGGTACGTGCCCCTAGAGGGAACCGAACCCGGGATTCTCTGGTCCGAAGGCCGACGCTCCAACCGCTGAGCCAAACTGGCCAGGGCTACTTCGTTAGTGAGTAGACCCCAAAGTCCATTTTCCATCACCGTAGCTTCACGAATTCAGAGGGATAACTCGAGTATTTCCTTTGTCCTGGTGGCAAGCAGGTGCTGACGGGGTGAGGAAAACAGAACTCACGGGAAGTCTTGAAAGACGGGTAAGGTCCCAACCACCTCCTCAACCTCATCCTTCTCTACGAAACGCCCATTCTTCCCCGTCCTGTTTTCTAACATGTAACCGGGCGGATACAAGGTCACCCGTGGGAAGACGGCGTACTCCTCCGCCCGGCCCGATGCTGGGATGGAGGCGGGGAGGGTGGTAGGGAGAGGCCCAGGTGTCTGCACCGGCGCGACCCCGGAAGGGGCAAAGGGCGAGGGGGGCGGGGCGGCGCGCGCCTGCGCCGACCTGGCTCCCGCCGCCCCCCGACCTCAGCATCCCTTGGCAGGAGCCCCGCGCGCGGGCGGGAGGAGGGGCGCGCCCGCCCCCGCCCCCCCACGTGACGCCAGCCGAGGAGATTGGAGCGGCGGCGGCGGCAAAAGGCAGCAGATTGGTGCAGCGCTCAGCGCTCACGGCAGGAGCTCCTCCTCCCCGGAGAGCCTTGACTGTACCATCTCCTCCGCCCGGCTGGTCATCGCCGCCGCCGCATCCCCGCCGCCGCGGCTCCCGGAGCAGGAGCAGAGGTAGCTGGGTCGCCGCCGTTAGAGGGGACACCGGCTGCCGCTCGTTCCCTCGGCCGTCGCCTTCAGGGTCTGCCCTCCCCGGGGTCTCGGCTTTCTCCTCCCGCCGCCGCCGGCTCCCGCTTACCTCCGCGATGGGGCTCCTGGACTCAGAGCCGGGCAGTGTCCTGAACGCGGTGTCCACGGCGCTCAACGACACGGTGGAGTTCTACCGCTGGACCTGGTCCATCACAGGTAAAGCCCATCCTCGCCCGGCCCTGCGGGAGACACAAGCCCCTTGCGGCTGTTGGGATGCTGTGGACCCGAGGAGGTGCCGGGGCGCGGGGGCCGCGGTGGGGAACGGTAAGGCCTCCTCCCCGCGGCGCTCGCACGGTTTTCCTCTGAGCTTCCACCATCTCTCATCAGCTTCTCGGATGCAGGAGCTGACATATCAGATGGAGCCTGTGCTGCCGAGAGCTCGTCCCAGGAACCACCCTCGTCTATATTCCCACATCTCCAGATCTCATCTGACAGCTCTAAATTATGCACGGGATTGGTTTTAACACTTAGCAATATTCCGTATGGAGAGATGGCTGGGGAGCGGGCACTCCAATGGTAGCTTTTGGTTTCTTTGGCCTCTTGGTTGCTTTGACACAACCTGCTAACCTGCTAATATTTTGTCTAGCTCATTCATCTGTACTGTAATTTGGAAAGTACAAAGCCATTGTTTGGCCCCTTGAGCCTTGAAGAATGTTAGTTACTGAGGCATTTCAACAGCAAATAATATTTGAAGTGATTGCCTATGATGGCTTTGCGCAGTGCAGTGCAGTCAGGGGGATGGGGATGCTAAAACACCGGGAAAGAAGTCTTCAGGAAGGGGGTCTCTACAGCAGCACCTAGAGGTTGTCCTAGAAGCCTACATATATACATTTTTCTTAAGTCAGCAAACTTTTCCCTTCAGTTGTTTCTGTGTATTTGACACGACTATCAGTGGGTTGATTTATGCAGGTCTTCTAGCAGGAGCAGTTGTGATGTTACTTTTATATTTCACCATTTATTTTATCCAGTTGTTTTTGGCTTTAAGGCATTTAAAAGTTTTGAAACAAAAGATAACGCTAACAGGATTTTGGAAATGAACTTATGATTTCAATTTTTTGGTCCTTTTGCAGTACTGCACTGCATCCCAGTGGGGGGGGGGGAGGATTAGTGTATCACATTATGACTTTACCTCCCTAGAAATGAACATTTATTCCTGTAGTTTCTGTGTTTGTTGTTAGAGTAAATGGGATAGTGGTTACAGCATGAATACAGTACAATGCATGGTATATACGCTGTAGAGAAAATGTGTTGCTGGAATTATTTCTGGGTGAGACAAATGATACTTTGATGTTGAAGTAGCTTTAACTTCTTTAGAAAAGTATGTTCTTTTTCAGAAGCTCTCAAATTTGACACCGAGAAGTAAGCTATTTAATTAGCCATTGCAATTGAAAATGGTTAAAAGACAGTTTTTAAGAGTTTTTCCTTTTTAAGTCTTCTGGGTACTGTTACACTGAGTTTATGCTCTACCTACAAAAGATGGGAAAGATGTACCCTTCCCTTCATCTGTGAAGTGATTTTGGTTATTTAAACATTGCATCAGGGTTTTCCATTACACAATTGTGCAGAGCCAAACATCAGACAAGTTCTTTGACAGGTAATTGCACTTTGCATACTTTAGAGTTCAGACATTGTCAAGGTCCTCCAATCTCCATATAGCAAGAGCCACACCCAGGAGTTCTCATTCCTGTCTGTCATTCCCTTCCCACCTCTTGAGTCTAAGAGAGAACTAAGAGCAAAGATTGAATATATTTTTGTGTGATAGTTAATTCCTTATCCTTATTCCTTTTTTAAAATTTAAAAAAAATGTATGTTATGTAAAAAAAAAAAAATCACAAATGAAATAGGAAATTTTATGCAGGTGCCTTATGTGAAAGCTTGAGACTCCCAAGGGAAGACCTAAAATATTATAATATTGTGGGCTAAGAACCGAGAAGTGAGAATAGCCACTGGGACACAAGTGACCTCTCACTAGCAGGTCTGAGGAAAGGTGCCCTGGCTATCCATTTACGAAACTTGAGACTGCTTCCTTGTTTTCTGTAATTAGCTACCAGGTGTAGGTAGATGGTATTTCTTAACTAACTGAGAGGCTTAGTGGGATATAGCCTGTCAGCCTTGCTGCTGTGTAAGGAGGAATATTTTTCAGATTCAGGCAGAAGAGACCTGAAACCTGTGGTGTCCCATTTCCTTTCACTGCCTCATCCTCTTCCTTCCATGCTCTCCAGGTACCTTTTCTTTGACTCATTAACATTGATCCAATTCCAAGAGTATCTCTTCTCACTATACTATAATGAAAATCTGGATGAAGGAGTTTCAAAGTAGAAAACTAGCTAGTTAGATGAGGATGAAGAGAAAGCTGATGAGTCAGATATTTGGAAAGGTGGGGAATAAAAATGGGTGGAGGGAAAGATGGTCTTGAGAAATAGTGGTGACTGTCATGAAAGGATACAGATTATTCAGGGAGAGCAAGAAATGAGCAAGGCTCTGTGCCCTTGAGTGCTTTTATCCCCAGAACTGTAGTTATATGCTTCAGTCTTTCTTTTTTATTATTTAATTGAATATTTCCACTGAGGTTTCTACCTAAGTGCATATAACCTATATCCACTTTGGACTGTTTATAACAGGAATAGTTCCAGATTTGTAGAATATATTTGGTGATCCAAAATATTTTTATCCCAGGGCAAACAGTTTCTGCAAAAACACTATTTTGAGCTATTTTATCAAATGGTACTATTTAATAAACCATGTATATGTAAAACTTGGCTTTTAAACAGCACATATCTAGCAAATACAGCATATAGCCCATAGTGTATTAATACAAAAAATGTTACTTTTACTATATCATTGTCAATTTGTACATTGAATTAAAACTTTGAAAGAGTTGTACTTTTAGCCCTGGCTGGTTTGGCTCAGCGGTTAGAGCATCGGCCTGCAGTCCAGAGAGACCCAGGTTCGGTTCCCGCTAAGGGCATGTACTTCGGTTGCAGTTTGTCCCCGGCCCTGGTTGGGTTGTGCAGGTGGCAGCTCGATGTGTACCTATAACATCGATGTCTCTCTCTCTCTCTCTCTCTCTCTCTCTCTCTGAACAGCAACAACAAAAAAATGAAAAAATGTCCTCGGGTGAGGATAAAAAAAAAAAAAGAAAGAGTTGTACTTTTAGAAAAACAAGAACTTTTTCCACTTTCCTACTTAATATTTTTAGATATTTTAAACAAGTAAACCAATTTTGGTTTATATTATCTAGGAAAGTATAGATTGATGTGGGACTTTGTGCCAGGTTGTAGTATGAGAGTAGGTAGGTACTCTGATATCATTGTGTTTATTTTTTTCTTCTATTCTTTTACTTTATGAGTATATTAAAATTATTAGGACTGGTATCCTAGACTCAAAGTGAATATGTAATCAAGATATGTAAACTGACTGGCCAGTGTGCCTCAGTGGATTGAGCATCGCCCCATGGACTGAGAGGCTCCGGTTTGATTCCCAGTCAGGGCACATGCCCAGGTTGCAGGCTCCATCCCTAGTGGGGGGCATTCAGGAGGCAGCCAATTGATGTTTCTCTCTCACATCAATGTTTCTATCTCTCTCTCTCTCTCAAAAAAATTAATAAAAACATATTTATTTATTTATTTTTATTTTATTTTTGTAAGTATTACAGATGTCCCCTTTTCTTCCCCTTTAACTCCCTCCTTCCCACTCCCACCCCCCTCCTGCCTTCCCCAGCATAGTGTCTGTGTAGATTGGCTGTGCATATATGCATATACGTTCTTTGGTTTATCTCCCTTCCCTCTCCTCCCACCCCTGTCCCTCTGAGATTTGTCAGTCTGTTAGGGAACACCCCTACTTACATGATTCCAGGATCTCTTTTGGTCAATAGCTTATTTTGTTCCTTATGTTCCAGAAATAAGATCATGTGGTACTTGTCTTTCTCTGACTGGCTTATTTTGCTTAGCATGATACTCTCCAGGTCCCTCCATGTTGTCTCAAAGGGTGAAAGATCTCTCTTTCTTACAGCTGCATAGTACTCCATTGTGTAAATTTACCATAGTTTTTTTACCCACTCATCTACTGATGGGTGTTTAGGCTGTTTCCAGATCTTAGCTATTGTAAATAGTGCTGCTATGAACATAGGGTTGCATGTATTCTTCTTGATTGGTGTTTCGGACTTCTTAGGATATATTTCAAGAAGAGGGATCACTGGGTCAAATGGAAGTTCCATTTTTAATTTTTTGAGGAAACACCAAATTGTTTTTCATAATAAACATATTAAAAAAAAAGGAGATGTAAACTGATAAATCTAAATATTCCCCGATATGTAAGTACCCAAGTTATCTACATTATTCATTGTGTTCATTTATTATTTTAACAAATGTTTATTGGTAACCTTTTGTGTAATTGACATTAGGATAAAAACATCTGGAGAGTTAATAGCCAGATTTCCCACAATGAGGCCAATTGTCTCCTGAACCACCACATTTCATTTTGATCCCATATTTTTAAACAACCATTGTTCATTGAGTGTGTATGCACATGCATGTTTGTGTGTGTGTGTGTGTGTGTGCGCGCATGTGTGTGTTTGGCATTGCTCCCTGTTTGCAGTTATAGTACCCAACATTTTGGTGAAAAATGTGTGTCTACTTGGGAGTTGAAATTAGAGCATAAAAGGCCACCCTTACTGGGTCCTTAAATTCCATTTGGAGGGGCTGGAAGGGAGAGGGGGATGAATGGTACAGGATGAGGAAGAATGATGGTGGAGTTTAGAAGCTAAGCTTAAATAATCATTCATTCTTTTCACATGACTTGCTATGTGCAGGCACAGTACTGGGCTCTAAGGAGAGAATGAGAACACTTGGTCATTGTCCCCCATGCAGCTTATGAAGTCTGCAGGGTCAAGGCCATGGTCTGTGATCTGTCAGTCAGGCCCAGCTGGGGCCTAGAGAAGGTCAGAAAAGTCCTTCTCTATTCTCTCTCCTTCCTTCCTTCCTTCCTTCCTTCCTTCCTTCCTTCCTCCCTCCCTCCCTCCCTCCCTCCCTCCCTCCCTCCCTCCCTCCCTCCCTCCCTTCCTTCCTTCCTTCCTTCCTTCCTTCCTTTTCCTCACCCGAGGGCATTTTTGCATTTATCTTCATATAGAGCAGGAGAGAGAGGCAGGGGTGAGAGAC